CCCCCCCCCCCCCCTAATAATAAAAAACAAAAACAAGCAATTGCAAAACGAATTATTGTCTCATTCAGTGCAGCTTGCCAGTTAGAACAGGGAGTGAATACGACAAAGAGTGCCTTTAATATGTAAATGTTTATAAAATTACAACACATGTACAAATTTGAATTCAATTTGAATATTTTTAGTATTCATATAACATATGCGGTGTCAATATTTGCTCCCAGTGGCTACAGAAAGGTCATACGTTGTACTTCATCTTGTTAAATGTCTTCGCTCCAACCACAAATCTGGATGAATAGCATACCAGGGATTAGGTTTTTAGATTGCCAAGAACAAAATTTCATTAAACATGTTAAAAAGTTGAGGGGGGGGGGATAATTAGATATTCGTACCCACTCCAAAAACTGGGGGGACTCGTCCCCCCCCCCATCCCCCCAGGATTGACGCCCATGAGCATGCCTGCTAGGGACATGCCTTCAAAAATAATTAACACTTATTTACTTTGAGCGAAGGAAACAGTATGTTTTTCGAGAAGCGAGGGAATGTGGGATTGTTCACCAGTGGCTTAGCAAGCTCGATAATTCGGGGGGGGGGCTAAAATTCATATATTCGTGTTCTGCATTATTAATTTCTTTTGAAATCAATTGTGTTGGATTGTAGCTCATCTGAACTAAACAGTAGGTAGAACTACTTGCTGACGTGTACTGAATGCTAATGAGGAAAATTGTTAAAATATTTCAAGATATTGGCAAAATTTCGAGATGCAAGAAAGGTAAAGAGAAGAAAAATATTATGTGACTCGTGCAGGCATGACTATAGACATAACATATAAGTATTCTTTATTAAAAACTCGGTCATCCCACAGCTGTCCATCCTATCCAGCCACTTATTGCTCTCAACTATTTATAGGAAGCTGCAAAGAGTCTATATCCCAGAAGAGTTGTCGCTACGTGCGTGATGCATATATTATGGAATACCTGTCAAAATATTTGTACTTTATGGCAGAAAAGTTATTTGCATGTAAGCACCTTACCTAAGTGGGTGTGTTAAACTGGGCAAGAAACCAAATTTTAAACACACATCTCTCTTCTAAATATTCTTTGCGTTTGTACAGTCCCTTATCTAAAAATTAACGTACCTATTTAGTCTAGAAAATCTACAATTTACTACTGTTAACGAATAGATCAGTCCCGTTCATTTCACGTTTGACACTTAACAAATATAAAACATTGTCCGTGTTGATATACAGTTATATCAACACGAGTGGGAATTGGGAAAACGAGAAATTGTGTGGAAAAACGACGCCCGAAGGGCGGAGTGTTTTCACACAATTTCGAGTTTTCTCAATTTCCACGAGTGTTGATATAACCGTATATCAATACAGAAAAATGTTTTTTAATTTTTTATAATATAGCACAAAGAAATATAAAGAAAGAAATTTTCCGTGTTGAC